TTCAGCAGTATCCCTGCCCTCCACCCTCTACATTCTGGTGGCTCTGCCCCCTCCCCAGTGGTGACAAACAAAATGCCTATAGACATAACTAGGTGCCCCCTGGGGGTCAAAATTGACCCCAGTTGAGGACCAGTGGCTTAACATGAGGCTCAACATTAATTTCATGTTGTTCTACAATACACAGAGCCTGCCATTAGCTGGTGGCCCGGGTGGGGAGAAGCTGCAGACTTTCGGTAGCTGGGACACAGGACCGAAGTACATGTTAGTTACTTATACCTGATAGAAAAGTTATAAGAACAGCTATAATTTATTAAGTACCTGATAAAGGTCATGTACTCTCCTTAGTACTTCATTTTTACTACTGATTTGAGGAAAAGTTTTTAAAAGTATAGGAAAATACAGTAACAATTCTCTTATATTTTCTTCCTAATTTCCTATTCATCAGAAATTTATGTATCCAGGCCATATTTTTATACTTTTCCTATGCAGATATGCTTCTGTAAACAATATTCAGTGTTGCTTTGGATATTTAAGATTATTTACATAAGTGGTATCATGCCGTATGCAACTACTGACATCATTTTTAACTTAAAGTTATGTTTGTGTGATGTCTTCATGTTGCCATCCATGAATCTGGTTTGTACTTTATCTTGTGTATACTGTTCTACGGTACGAATGTGCTACCGTCTATTTCCCCATCGTCCTACAGACAGGCATGAGTTGGTTCCAGTTCCTCTCTTTGATAAAGCAACACTACCGTAAGCATCTTTATATGCCTCTGCACAAACATGCAAGTGTTTCGTCAGAAGTAGAATTGTTGGATTAGAGGCTGTGTCATGTTTTAATTTACATGGATAATGCCAAATTAATTAATTTACCTGGATAATGTTCTGCTAGGTGACTAAATCAATTTACATTCCACTAGAGCATTCGAGAGTCCCTGATTCCCCACAATCCTCTCTAACACTTGGTTTATCATAATTTAAAAAATTTTAAATCTAATGATAGTGGAATGTCTACCTCTGGATTTATTTGCATTTCCATATTGTTAGTGAAGTTGCACATTTTTTCCTTGGCTGTAGCATTTTTTTCTGTGAATTATTGTTCATATTCTTTGCTCATTTTTCTATTGAGTTTTCTTTAAAAAGTTTGTTTAGCCCTGACCAGTTTAGCTCAGCAGTTAGAGCGTTGACCTGCGAACCAGAGAGACCTGGGTTCGGTTCCCACTAAGGGCACGTACCTCGGTTGCAGTTTGTCCCCGGCCCCTGTTGGGGCTGTACGGGTGGCGATCACTCAATGTGTCTCTCTCACATCGATGTTTCTCTCTCTCTCTTCCTTCCTCTCTCCCTCCCACTCTATCTGAAGATAAATGCAAAAATGTCCTCGGGTGAGGATCAAAAAAAAAAAAAAAGGAAAAGTTTGTTTAAAAGAACTTAGTATGTTCCACATACTAATGTTCTATTTTATATATTACAAATATATCTTCTCCCAGAGTTTCATTTGTCTTCACTTTTCCTAATTTTTTCTTTTATCACTTGTCATTTTGGGCCTTATTTAAGAAATCTTTTCCTATTCTAAGTTCATAAAGATATCATCTTAGATTTCTAGTGGTCTTAATATTTTATTTAAACATTCATTTCTTTGAACCTTCTGGAGAATTTTTGTGTTATGTTGTGAGGTAAGGATCTCACATATTATTTCTTAGCCTCACAAGAACCCTATGAGGTAGGCATTATTCCCATTTCACAGATGGGAAAACCAAGGTTTAGATAAGTTACTTGCCCAGTTTTATAGATAGTACAAGGTAGCAGAAGCCAGGACTTGAGTCCTAGTTTGTTTGGTCTCCAAAGCCCACGCGCTTCCCTATGAGGCACAGTGTTGCCCCAGAGGGCCGGATGCCATAAGCATAGTATCTTATTTCTCAAGAAATTGTATTACATTCTAATGTAATCCTTGGGTATGTCCTAGAATGAAGATTATGAGGTTAATTCGTTGTCCGCCAGTATAGAAGCTCAGGTGCACTTGGGCCAGAATCAAGCCTTTTCTGGCTCGAAGCTGCAGTGGTCAGTAACCAAATGTTGAACTGAACTGGGAAAGAAGAGCAGTGGTGGCCTCAGCCATCAGAGTCCTGGAATTTAATCTACATAGTTAGGGTTTTCTTTCTTTCTCTGCTCAGTTGTTCTCTGGAGGGGAATATGGTGGAATCGAGGCAGAAAGAAGGAGGAAGAGTAGTGAAGAATCCAAAACAGCTCTTTATAGCAGTTACTGTTTTTCTCATTGATTTATAAGATTGCTCTATAATAGAAGACTATTGGATCCTTTTCTGTAATTTTTGTTTCAAATATTTCTTCCAAGTTTTTAATTTTTCTCTTTTAGTTATTTCTGTGATAGCATTATGTTTTGACGTATCTTTTTGTGTAATCAAATCTATCAATTTTCCCACATTTCTTCTATTACTTTTATGCTTAGAAAGGCCTGACCAGCCTAAGATCAGTTAAAGTCATGTGTAGTTTCCTTTAGAAAAACTTTAAAAGTGTTTTTTAAAACTAATTTCATCACGTGGACAAAACATCATTTTTATTAATTTTTTCAGACAGTAAAAAAGAGTTTATCATGAAAAGTACTTCCCTTCCTTTTATCTCCCCAGAGGTAACCACTGTTTACAGTTTCTTGGGTATCAATTCCAGAATATTTTCATTAATATAGAGCATAAGCTGAATTCACATCAACAGATCATTTAGTGGACTTTTCTGTTGTCCCAGACTCGTGTGTTCCAAACTGAGGACTGGCTTTAATTTCTCTCCAGGGTTAAGGGAGTTGCAAGCCTTACCAAGAGGCCACCAAACCGGCCCTGCAGCCACCTCCCTCCACCCTTGCTGACCTATATAAGTGGAGGCAGGAAAGCTGTGGACAGAGGGTTCCATGGAGCTGGGTTCTTGATCTGGAATCCTCAGGGATTTGTGGGTAGAATTCAGGGAATCCATGAACGTGCATAAGAAAAATAATGCATCCTTATTTTCACTTTCAGCTGAAATTTAGCATTTCCTTTCAGTATGAATGTAGGGAACACGGCACGGTAGTATTAGCAACAACTGTATCTTTGCAACCGATAGAAATGACAGGTGTTTACATATCACAGAGTTGTTGCAGATATCTCACAATGTCATTTCCACTCATCACTACTTAGAAATTACTGCTAAAACTTATTATATGTTAATAAAGCAACACATATACTAGAGTACACATTTTAAAAATGTTTATGGTACCTACATTTTACTGTAGTTTCCTTTGTAATACTACATATTTTTTTAAAATAAATTTAAAAATATTATTCTGAAAGGGGGCTGGTGGGCTTAGATTTTGCCAGACTGCTGAAGAAGGCCTCCATGCATAAGAAAGATCTAGAGATAGAGCATGGTTTGGGGTGTTTCTCCTACTAATCCCTCAGAGCCAAATGAAGGGTTCCAAGGTTGTCACAGAGTTGTCATCTTGTTGGTGCCTCACCCAGGGAGGCTGATTGGTGAGGAGTTCCCTTATCCCCACCCTCAGGCTGTGATGGGCAGAGGTGGGAGGGAGCCTGGGGGTGGACCTGTGAAAAGAGATTAACCCAGTTCCTCTCCTGGATCACACAACAGTGTAACAGTCGAGACTCCCTCAATTGTCTTGAAAGAACCCACACTTGTGAACCTTCTAGGCACAAGGGCACATCTGCCAAGATAGGATTAGGCTGCAGGACGTACATGAAAGTACTTTGCCCTATTCTTTTTGCCCTCATTTCCACCCTTCTCCCTCCATGGCCCCAGAAGCAGCAGAAAGAGGGGGAGAAGAGGACCACACCAAAGGAGCATTTTACTCTCCTGCCCAGTTGGACCCTAGAGTCATAAGTCTGGCCTGAGATGGAGGAAGGGAAAAGTCTTTGAATGGATGTGAAATTAATTTTTGACTTAGCCTGGCTTGACTTCTTAATACTTCAAATATTATCTTTTAAATCCTTTTCTGAAGATATGTTTATTGGTTTTTTAAAAATGTTTTTATTGATTTTAGAGAAAGAGAGGAAGGGAGATGGAGAGAGAGAAACATCAATCAGCTGCTTCCTGAACACCCCCTACTGGGGTTGGAGCCTGAAACCTAGGCATGTGTCCTGACCAGGAATCCAACCAGTGATCTCCTGGGGCAGGGCCTGTCTATTGATTTTTAGAGAGAGAAGGGGGTAGGGGGGAAGGGAGGGACACCAATAAGCTTGCCTCCCATAAGTGCTTGACTGAGGATCGAACTCACAACCTTTTGGTGTATAATACAGTGCTCTGCCCAATTGAGCCACTGGGCCAGGGCCTCAAGTAGAACTTTAATGACCAGAATGAGGTTGCTCTTAAAATTGAGTGACTAAAGAGCTGCATGTTCAGCTCAAGGAGTCAAGAAAAGGCTAGAAAGGAAGATTTGAAGGCAGAAGCTGAAGAAAAAACAGATCCATTTTCTGGTGTGTGCCATGCAGGGTTGCGTGTCCACTACACTGGCCTTCTGTTCTTGTTTATCCTTTTGTTTTTTCTCTCTTTTTTCCTCAAACGCAATTTGCTTTTTTACTTTACTTATCTGAGTCACATATATTTCAAAATTATATTTTTAAAAACATGTAACTCTTTAACCTAAGTGGAATTTTGCCATGCTGTTTGGGGGGAGTGTGGAGGGTGTGGAGGGTACCATGACTTTTATCTTGAAGTTAGGAGTCGCCATGTGACCAAGAAGATCCGGGACAGTGATTGCACACCTACCTGGCAGGTTTGACTGGAGAATGGCTGTCATGCCCCCTGAAGCTGGTAGGGCTCTTGTTGATCAGAGTTAGGCAGACTGCTGCTCAGGCTCTGGGGGAGGGATAGGACAGCTCGCTGAGTCACAGGGGAGACACTTAATGTTTATGGAAAATCTGGACCAAAACTGTGAGTAAATGCCTCCCAAAACACATTCAAAGGACATTGGTGGTGCTGCCTTCTCCTGTGGGCTGCAGTCTGTGGCTGAGACAGGTGGCCAAGGAACAGGATGAATCTGCTGGGAGCTTTTGGAAGGTCTGAGGGTGCTTTCCGTGTCCCCTGCCCACCCTGCCTTCCTTCCAGTCTCCTGCCTCTCTCCTGCCCAGCCAGCGAAACACTCCAGCCCCACTGTTTCTGCCTGTCTTTCTGGCCTATATCTTTTTTCTTACTTTCATTTCCCTTCACTATCTTAAATCTTATCTCTTCCTTTTTTTTTTTTTTGCTTATTTAATGCCTACTCTCTCCTCATTTTTCTCCATCATCTCTTTTTTTTTAGTTAAAACTCAAGGGATACTGAGTTTTCTTTCCACTCTAAACCAACCCTACATATTACTTTAAAAATTATTATATATTTTCAATTTTTATCGTGTGTGTGTGTGTGAGCTTATGCACAAGTGTGCAGAGTCAGTTTAAGAGAAAGTAGATGCAAACAACCCTTGAAGGATGGCTGAGCAAGAAGAGGCCATGTGGGAAATTCCAGGGGCAGAAACAAGGAAGCCACAGAGGTGGGGTTCATGTGTTTGGAGAAGAGGGGATTTCCCCACTTCCACTGTTGTCCTGATCACTCTGTGTTGTAATTTATGAGTTTATGTGGCTGACTACCATTCTGGACTGAGTAGGCACACGAAAGACATTCAATAAAGTCGATTTGATACTAAAATGGGGATTGGGACTTCAGGGAAAAGAAGAGCTCTGGGAGGGTGCTCTGCTGGAACTGGGCTTGAAAATAGAACTGAGACCCGACCAAAGCCTGGGAACCTGTGGGTTTGTACTAAATTAGTGGAATAGCATGGAGTTGTGCAAATAGTTAAAGTTGCTTATAAATTGTACCCCAAACTTGCTTTGGATTGTAGAAAACTTGTTTTTCCACTTCAAATGGCCACCTGACCTTGTTGTTTTGGAGTGGGTAGGTTATGAAGTGAGTGGAAAGGGTCCTCAGCTCATGGTGTCTCTTTGAAGGAGAAATGCTCTCAGATTTCTTTACAATTAGAAGCAAAAACTAGCCCAGCGCTCGAAGCCTTCTGTTCAAGGCCTTGCTAGAATTCCTTGGCAAGTCCTCAGTGAAATTTACTTTCCTTCCCTTCAATAAGCAAGAGTCCAAGTGGAGTCCAAACTGACCTTTTTCAGAACCTTGGACCATATACTTAATTGGCCTTTCTGTGCAGCTTCCTTCATCTTTTCCTTTTTACTTCAGCTAATAGTCAGCTCAGGACCTTGAAGCAGAAATAACTGGAAGTATTCTGGAACCAAGAAGGATGAAGAAGGGAGGTTGTGCAAGGAGAGGAACTCGAACAGGACGAAGCTGAGACTAGAGACTTGTGCAAAGACAGAGTGCCCCTGAGAGCCACAGCCAAGGCCAGGGAGAGGACTCCAGGAGTGAGAAAGGTGACATGTCTGGGCTGAGCCTGAGGCAAGATCTGACTAACCAGTGAAGCCACCAGGGATGTTTGGTAGCTCAGCTGTGGACCAGTTGATGGCTAATCAATGCAAACAAGCCTAATTTTACCGGGTGTGACTGGAGATAAAAGAAGTAACAGTCTGGGTCATTTCACATGAGTGGAGTGATAAAGAAAAATTGTTTAGCTAGTTGAAAAATATACTTTAAAAAATAAACAAATTTGGAAGCATGGACTTGCTAGAAAATCAGTACTTTCCCTTAGTCTAAAATATGAGCCTTGTAACCAACAAATGGCTTCTGTCAACAGTGCAAAGCTCGCTGCTGTAACGCTGGAGCACAGGCAGTAGCAGAGTTTAAATATGGAAAAGGTTGGTAACACAGAAGACAGAACCAGCAAGACTGAAACCAACTAGTCCTAAACCACAAACACCAGAAAAAAGTTAACATATCATTTGTCACCATTTCACCACTAGCCTTGCTAAATAGCATTCATTGAATACACGGAGCCCCCAGGTGGCTGCCGAAATCCTCAGCCAACACTGTGTTTTATTGTGGTGGGGTCCCACCCAGAGGCCAGCTGGAAGCAGTTTGTCAGTGAAAATTCAAGAAAGAGAAACCATGGCTACTCAAGGCTTATGTTAAACACAATATCAAATGGAGGTTTCATTTTAAAGATAATAAGGACCCTTCACATGAAAACGTGTCCTTTCATGAGACATTAGCTACTGTGATACCGTGATTGTATGAGAAATTTTAGCAGTTTGAATGCTCTCAGAATGAAATTTAATTTCATGATCTTTATTAGTCTAAAGATTAGACTAATAGTGGTGGAGGGGATGATACTAGGAAACCATTCTGAGGATCACATCAGTGATGAATTCCTATACTTTTTCTTCTGTAAACTAAAATTGCCACTTAGCAAATCAGAAGTTGTAGACAGTATACAAATACAGTCAGTTGCATTACATGGCAATTTGCACATTTGTGTCTGGCTTTGGCAAGAATGGGCACACTTTGGAAAAAGCATGGAGATGCTCACCTGCAACCAGAGAAGGTTGCTTCCGAGTGAAAACGTTGGCAGGGTAAATTTAATACCCTCACCCGGTGGGAGCGGGGAGGAGGGGTCAATGGGGGAAAAGAGGGGGACATCTGTAATACTTTCAACAATAAAGATAAAAAAAAGATACCCTCACTTTATTTTGTTGGTATTATAAAGGGAGGGAACTGACGCAGGAAGGACTCAAACTAAAACTCAATTATATAACTTGAGTAGGTAAATAATTTCATATTTACACAAATATCTCTTTAACTCTCATGTTTTATTCCTTTTAAATTAAGAAGCTGTAGACCAGGTCAGGAAGCCTAAGGAACCAACACCTTGATTTATAGTTACTTCTGCAAGGACTAGTTTGATCACAGCACTCACTGTTTGGTACTAGCAAGTTGTCCCAGGGAAATGGTATGTACATACTTAATGTTTTAAAATTTCTTCTGTATTTAAATTGCTAAGAAGCAGAGGCCAGGCTTCAGTCTCTTTGGGTCTCTCCAGATCCACACTGCTCTGCTCTATGGCCCGGGGATGCTGACAGAAGAGGGTTTCATCAACATGCTCCCAGTATGAGTCTGGAGGGAGGGAGATGTGGGAATTCTGAGTTCCCTCCTTGCTGGGTTGTGGTGAATTCCAGTGGGGCCACCCTTATTGAAGAGTTGCCTCTCTAGGTTCTGATCTTTCTCTCCCTTACATCTTCAAGTGCCAGTGTTTCCCCACGGCTAGCCCAGGATACTGCAGGGCATCGTGTGGATTTCCCTAGCTCTGCCCACACCTCTGTAAATAGGCTATGAAACGCTCCTCAAATTACCCAGTTGAGCCATGCTTTCTGTTTCCCGCTTGGACCCTGAATGATTCCTGTTCAGCACAGTGCTTTATATGTAGCAGAGCATTGGATAAAGGCCTTTAAAGTCCAATTAAACAGAGTTGTCTGACCATTCTAATATCTCCATTCAAAGATTGCTTATACTAGGGTAACCAATGTTCCTTTTTGTTGGGGTCTGAGAGGAGTACTCTGGCCTTGGTACTTTTAGTTTAAAAATCAGGACAGTTTGGGGCAAACCAGATGAGTTGGCCACTGTAGCATGTACTTAAACATTTTTTTAAATTGGTTTTTGAAGAACATTATCTTATCTTTCAAAAGATTTCTTTTTTAAAAATGTTTTTATTAATTTTTTAGAAAGAGAGGAAGGGAAAGAGAGGTAGAAAACATCTATGTGAGAAACAACAATCGGCTACCTCCTGCATGCCCCCTACTGGGGATCGAGCCCACAACCAAGGCATGTGCGCTGAATGGGAATCAAACTGGGACCTCTCAGTCCTTGGGATGACACTCAATTCATGGAGCCACACCGGCTGGACTCAAAACATTTCTATGATTATATTTAAGCTAAAGTTGTTTTACTAAACAATGGAGCATTTCCCACATGAGCAAAGCTGTGTCTGAAATGCTTTTTTTAAAGGCAAATTGCTGTAATGTGAACAGAGCACACATTATTGTGTTTGGAACTCGCAAGACATCGAAAAATGGTGTAAGTGCTTATTAGGAAGTTTTGCATGAATAGAGTGGCAAAGTGCAGTGCAGTGAAAAATGGGGCTGCTTGAATATGGCTCCTGATTTAAAAAAACACTTTTAGGCATTTTCCTGTCCTTCCAGTATGCCATTATTCTGAGAACATGGGAGGATATTTACATATTATGAAGAGCATATTTTATTGTTTTATGTTAGTATTTCCATTCATTGGTATATTTTAATTCCTAAGAGATCAGTTGAAAAAGGGAAGCATTAACCTCAAACAAAGGTAACATTTTGAGAATTCTTCATTTATAAGTTGGAATACAGTTTGAATATTTTGATTTTTAAAATTAGAGATATGGTTATTAAATGACAATATTAACAGCTATCATACTGCTTTAATAAATAGGCTACTTGGGAGGAGAAAATATAATTGGGTGAAAAATCTACCACGGTCTGAATGTTTTTTAATTCAAGATAATATTTTCTGTAAGAGATTTTGACTATTCACTGCAGGAAGCCAGGATTTCGAATATGCACCCCCTTACCCCTGCCATTTAATATCAGTTTTCTTGATCTACTTCTGCTCCCCAAATCATTGTTCCCTTCTAAGAGTTGGACAAGTTATTTAAAACAAATTGATAATACTGACTGTGGTTAAATTAGAATTTAATAACTCAACTGAGGTAGCTCAGAAAAGCTCCCTTTGGCATTATCTCTACACTGAAATGGCTGTTGTTAATATGTTTTCCAACTATAATGAATATATGAAAGATATTGACTTAAGTGTGTTAAATTTAATTCATTATAACAAACATTTATTATATGCCTCACATGTGTAAGAGAATAATGTAAAATCAAATTTCACAACATAAATGTACTTATTCAAACATCAAACCTTTGGAAAGAAAAATATCTGTAGTCACTCATTTTGGTTAGGTTTTAAGAAATTACATTACATATATGTGTAGGTTTTTTTAGTCTAAATTTTCAAGTCTAGATTCTCTTTGTTTTGTAACTTTTAGAAATTTGTTAGGATTTGACTCAGTGTTGATAAGCAACAATTTATTTTC